TTTTTTTTTTTTTTTTTGAGTAGGGGTCTCACTCTGTTGCCCAGGCTGGAGTGTAGTGGCATGCTCACGGCCACCACAGCCTTGACCTGCTGGGCTCAGGCAATCCTTCCAAGTAGCTGGGACTATAGGCACGTGCCACTACTACTGGCTACTTTTTTGATTTATTATAGAGATGAGATCTCACCAAGTTGCCCAGGCTGGTCTCAAATCCTTGGGCTCAGGCAGTCCTCTCGTCTCTGCTTCCCAAATTGCTGGGATTACAGGCATGAGCCACCACACCTGGCCTTTTTTAAAAAAAAATTTTATTTTTTTTGAGTTAGTGTCTTACTCTGTCACCCAGGCTGAAGTGCAGTGGCATGCTCACGGCCACCGCAGTCTCAACCTGCTGGGCTCAGGCATTCCTTCCGCCTCAGCCTTCCAAGTAGCTGGAACTATAGGCGCATGCTACCTTGCCTGGCTAGTTTTTTGATTTATTGTAGAGATGAGGTCTTGCCAAGTTGCCCAGGTGGGTCTCGAACCCGTGGGCTCAGGCAATCCACTCACCTCAGCCTCCCAAAGCGTGGGATTACAGGCTGAGCCACCGAGCCCGGCTTGAATGAGTGATCTTATAAACAAATACAGGAAGTACTGAAATACTGGAAGCATTGCCTTTTTAGTTTTGTGATCTTCTTGTTGGAATTTATGACAGGTAAATGATAATTGTGTTGTATCACAGTAATTCTAATTACTAATGATATATTTACAGGTTGGCCAGGAGATAGAAGTCAGACCTGGTATTGTTTCCAAAGATAGTGAAGGAAAACTCATGTGTAAACCAATCTTTTCCAAAATTGTTTCACTTTTTGCGGAGCATAATGATCTTCAGTATGCTGCTCCAGGGGGTCTGATTGGTAAGACTTTTCCTCTCTTTTCCTTTAATTTGTGGCTACTTATGATATTTTTCATGGGAAATGGATTACTCAGAAAGATACAGTGTAGAATTTTAATTGGGTATTTTAATTGGATGGAGTGGGGAAATACTCATGTGGTTAAGCTCTTGTTTTATGTTATTAGATGAGATTTCATGTGTTTGTAAAAATTATTTTTAAACATATAAAAGGATACATTTTGGTTGAGTATGTAAGGTAATTCCTTTTTAGCAATAACAAAATAAATTTTATGACCTAATGTTGGAGGTACCTAACTATACTTTTTTGTTTTTTGTCGACATGGTTTTGGGGTAGAGAGTGGTTGCTTTTTATATGTTTTGCAAATGGGACGTTACCCACAAATGTCAGTTGAATGACATCAGATTATATTTACACTGAGATGGGAATGAAAGAAGCTAACTTATTATATAGGAATTACTGAAATAATTTAAAGTTTTTCTACTCCCTTACAACTATATTACTAGGTACCTGGAAAAATGCAAGATTCGGTGAGAATTAGAGGTATTGTTGTACCTCTGGATTAAAGAAGAAAATGGTGAAGAAGCAGTTTATTCTACATTAAACTAATTGGTTCTCTTGTTTGTTTGATTGATTGAGTCAGAGTCTCACTCTGTTGCCCAGGCTTGAGTGCAGTGGCACACTCAAGGCCACTGCAGCCTTGATCTGCTGAGCTCAGGCAGTCCTTCTGTCTCAGCCTTCCAAGTAACTGGAACTACAAGCACACACCACCACACCTGGCTAATTTTTTGACATTGTAGAGGCAAGGTCTCACCATGTTGCCCAAGCTGGTCTCAAACCCCTGGGCTCAGGCAGTCCTCTTGACTTTGCCTCCTAAAGTGCTGGGATTACAGGTTAAACCACCACACCTGGCTGGTTCTCTGATATTTGAGTATATAGTTCATTTTTTCTTTCTGTTCTGTAATTAAGAGTTTATTGCACCGGTCACCATAGCTCTCACCTGTAATTCAGAGCTTTGGGATGCTTAGGCAGGAGGATCACTTCTGGCCAGGAGTTCAAGACTAGATTGAGCAAACATTTAAACCCATCTCTACAAAAAAAATTTTTTTAATTTCCAAGTGTGCTGGTACACACCTGTAGTCCTATCTACTCAGGGGACTAAGGCAGGAGAATCATTTGAACCCAGCAATTCAAGATTACAGTAAGCTATGGTTGAGCCACTCACTCCAGTCTGGGTGACAGAGTGAGACCCTGTCTCCAAAAAAAAAAAAAAGTTCACCATCAGGATTTAATCTTTTATTGTAAACAGGAAAACTCTAGAAATATTTTTTTAAAATAACTTAAGGAACTTTTCAAACATAGGAGAGGATAACCCCCACGTAGCCACCACTCAGATTCAGCAGTTATTAATATTTTACCAATTTTTTTTTTTTTTTAATGAGACAAGTTCTTACTCTGTCATCCAGGCTGGAGTGCAGTGATGCAATCGTAGCTCACTGCAACTTGGAACTCCTGGGCTCAAGTGAGCCTCCCGCCTCAACCTCCTGAGTAGCTATGATTACATACAGGTGTGTGCCACCATACCCAGCTAATATTTTTATTTTTTGGAGAGATGAGTTCTTTTTTTTCTTTTTCTTTTTTTGGAGTTGGAGTCTCACCCAGGCTGGAAATGCGGTGGCACGCTCACAGCCACCACAGCCTTGACCTACTGGGCTCATGTTATCCTTCCACTTCAGCCTTCCAAGTAAGTGAAACTATAGCTGCACACCACCATGCCCAGCTAATTTTTTTGATTTATTGTAGAGACGAGGTCTCGCCATGTTGCCCAAGCTGGTCTTGAACCAATGGGCTCAGGCAATCCTCTCACCTCCCCAAACTGCTAGGATTATAGGCGTGAGCCACTGTGCCTGGCTATTTTTCCAGTCTTACTTCACCTATATATCTTCCTTCCCCTTCCCTCAAGATGCAACTACAATTTTTTTTAAATTTTAATTTGAAAGATGTGGGGTACAATTCAGGATTGGGTATGTAAGTGGTCATGGGCCTCCCTTTGGTCCCCACTTTGCCTGATTTGAGATCAAGTACTCTTATTGATGTTGTGTCCTCCCCTCCACCCCAGTAAAATATTTTGAAGTGGATCCCAGGAATTATGAAATCTTTAAACTCTAAGCTCACTCTTTCTCTCCCTTTTTAAAAAAAAATTTTATTTTAAAGATGTGGGGTGCAATTTGGGGTTAGGTATATAAATGTTCATTGTGTAGGTACCCTTGTTGATGAGGTGTGCCCCCTCCTCCCCTGGCACTTTCCCACTACCCTTTTTTTTTCCTGAGTCAGAGTCTCATTCTGTCCCCCAGGTTGGAGTTTAGTGGCACTGTCATGGCTCACCGCACCCTTGACTTCCTGGGCTCAGGTGTTCCTTCTGCCTCAGCCTCCTGAATATCTGGGACTACAGGTGTACAGCACCACACTCGGCTAGTTTTATTTATTTATTTTTTGTAGAGATGAGGTCTCTCTATGTTGCCTAGGTTGGTTTCGAACTCTTGGGGTCAGCAGTTCTCCCTTCTCAGCCTCCCAAAGTTACTGGTATTACAGGTGAGTCACCACGCCTGGCCTAAGCTCTTTTTGATCACCTTTCTGGAGAGAAATGGCGTGCAAATATTCTGCAAACTACTCATTATGAATTTTGTGCCTTTTTTTGGTTGAGGTCTCACTCTGCCTCCCAGGCTGGAGTACAGTGGCTTGATTGCATCTCACTAGCAGCCTCTACCTCCTGGGCTCAGGCTATCCTTCTGCCTCTGCCTCTCAAGTAGCTGAGACTACAGTCATGGGCCACCATGCCCAACAATTTTTTTTTTCTTTGTAGTGACAAGGTCTCACTGTGTTGCCCAGGCTGATCTTGAGCTCCTGGGCTCAAATGATCCTCCCATCTCAGCCTCCCAAGCTGCTGGGATTACAGGCGTGAAAACATCACACCCAGCCTGAATCTTGTATCTTTTCAGTCTTTATTAAGTTTATTCAGACTTATTTAAAATTTGGTCATTATCTTTATTTGCCCTTTGTTTAGAACTTAAATCAAGAGAATCTTTGTTCTCAATTGCCTGATCAACCTGTGAGTTTGCAATTCTGTTTCTTCAGGTAAAGCAGGTATTTTGTTATTCCTATGTAGCTATTATATATATAAGTATGAAAATACAACTTTGTATTAAAATGTTTAGGTATATGCCATGCTAGTTTGACTAAGCTTTGGGGTAAGTAATTCACTTTATTGGTATTTTAGGAAATAAAAAGTTGGACTATATATATTTTATTTTATATTAGGTGTTGGAACAAAAATTGACCCCACTTTGTGCCGAGCTGACAGAATGGTTGGACAGGTGCTTGGTGCAGTCGGAGCCTTACCTGAGATATTCACAGAATTGGAAATTTCCTATTTCTTACTTAGACGGCTTCTAGGTGTACGCACTGAAGGAGACAAGAAAGCAGCAAAGGTAAGTGCTTTTTATAATTTCTGTTTCAAAAGAAGTGATAAATGGGATGTTAAACCAGTTTTGGTTTTTATTCTTCATAATTAACATGAAATAAGGAAAGTAAGTTTGGTTTCCCAAAAATCAAGAACTTCTATATGGTAATCAGTTTAAGGTTAAAAAAAAAATGTGAAGAAACAAACATTAAAAAAAAAAGGGGGAAAGGTATTTGTGTCATGTATGACATTCCTAATAATTTTCTTAAAAGATCTCAGATTAGGTTGACAGAGATGGGAAATTGCTGACACTTGGGGTGGCAAAGATGTAGGGGAATATAGACAGTCATGCTTTTTGCAAAAGTGTAAATTGGTAGTACTTCCTGAGAGAGAAATGTGGTGATACTTTATGTCAACACTATCCCAGAAAATTTCACTGAAACTTTTTAAAAATAGCATAGTATTTATTATGGGACTATCCGTTTAGTGGGAAAATGTGCTACTTTAAAACTTTATATATGTATTGACATAGAAAGAGCTCGAAAATATAGTCAACCAGGAAAGAGAAACAAGTGATGGGTGAGTTATAGAATTCTCTCTTAACAGTTGTAATACTAGGCTTTCTATTACAAAGTTATAAATGTCATGGTGAAAAATTCACACAGCACAAAAAAAATGACACGAAAAGTTATTTTCATGAGTGTGATAAGGAAAGAAATCAATGTGACTGTGGGTCATGTGTTTATAAAACTAGGTTTGTCATGTTTTTAAAGATTTCTCTAATAATTTTTTTTAATCATTTGGCTTTTGATAAAAATATGAAACCATTGAAACAGTGGTCTGAACTTGGGCATTAGGCTTTAAGTGAGGAAAGCAGCCATTGTGGAATTATAGCTTAATAAAATTCAAAATAACCTTGTGTGGTAGCCAATTTTACGGAGACTCAGAGAGTTCCAATAACTGGCTTAAGGTGGAATTGGACCTCTAGAGCCACCTTATTAACTTTTACATAACTATTGTCCTGCCTCTCCCCCTTTTGGGAAATTTTGTACCTCATTTCTACTATGCAAGTTATTCAAAATTTTAAGAATTCCTGTTTCGTGATTACTAGCTTATTTTTTAAAGGTAAATGTTGTGTAAGTTCGGTGGGTGCTAGATAAACCTGTTTACCACCTTTAGACTATATGTAGTTTAAATCCCTTTACAGTGAAATTTCTGTAGAATTTCTTTTTCTTTTATGATTGACGTATTTCCAAAAGTATTTGATAAATTCCCACTTATTTTTGGAAAGCATCGTCTTGATTTGGGTCTCCTCCCCCCCCCAATTTATTCTCTAGGTGCAAAAGCTGTCTAAGAATGAAGTACTAATGGTGAACATAGGATCCCTGTCGACAGGAGGGAGAGTTAGTGCTGTCAAGGCTGATTTGGGCAAAATTGTTTTGACTAATCCCGTGTGCACTGAAGTAGGAGAAAAAATTGCCCTTAGCCGAAGAGTTGAGAAACACTGGCGGTAAGTTTATTAGCCTTTGCCACTGTCTAATAAAAAAGACACAGTCAATTTAAGTTCTTGGTGATGTACACACAAGTGGACACTCTTCTTTGGATACAACAGCTATTGTGACTTTAACTCTCAACTTTTTATTTGGATGACTTTGAAAATGATACTTCAGCCTTGATTTATAGCCCCATATTTTAGTCCTGTTATTGCAATTGGCTTCCCTTCCTCTTGGATATAGCCTATGCAAAACCCAATGTATTTTTGTTGTCTTTGACTTTGGGCACAACTTCACACTTAATAGAAAAATTGTAAGAATTGTACAGAAGGCTCCTATATACCCTTTTCTCAGATAGACACACATACACATTTATTTACACATATAAACTTATTTTCTGAACCATTTGAGTGGTAGGTTGTATATGTGATACTCCATGACCTCTTAACACTTCAGTGTATATTTCTCAAAAACAAGGATATTCTTACCTAACCACTTTAGGAATCTTAATATTGACAAATTACTGAAATCTATAGTCCATATTTCAGTTTTATCACTTATTCCTAATGTCTTTTATCTCCCTCCAGTTTAGAATCATGCGTCACATTGTTTCATGTCTCTTTGATCTCTTATCTGTAACTTTTTCAGCCTTTTTCTTACTTGACATTGGCAATTTTGAAGAATACAAGCTAGTTTTCTTTATAGAATGTTCTTCAGTTTAGGTTTACTTCATAGTTAGGTGATGATATCGCCCTCTTGGGAATCACAGCCAAAAGCACATGATATCTGACTGTTCCTCTTTGTTAAGGTCAACTTAGATTATGTGGTCAGGGTGTTGTCCAACTTCTCTACTTATACCCTTGCAACTAATAAGCTACCTGTGAGGAGATTCTGAGCTGTACAGATAACCCACTGCTCTTACAATTTCACACCCCTGGATTTAGCATCCACTGATGATTCTTGCCTGAAATTAAACTTGACTATAGTGATTGCAACAGATCACAGTGTCCCCTCCCCTAACTCTACCACCCCACATTTATCATAGGACATTCTTTCTTCTCTATTATTTACTTACCTATCCAGTTATAATATGGACTCATGGAGTCCTGTTTAATTCACTGGGTTGTGATCCATTACTGTCCTTACTTATTTTTGTGTGCATTGTTCAAGATTTCACCAATGGAGATCCTTCAGGCGGGCTCCTGTGTCCTTTTTTTAACACTCCCTTATTTTCTGGCCCAAGTTGTTCCACACTCATCCTGTACCTTCTCTGTGCCAGTTTTAGAACTGGCCATTGCTCTAAGGAACCCTGGCTTCTTGTAGTAGGAAGTGATACTTAAAAATGAAGATCTGAATGCTAGGTGTGCTCATTGCTCCTAGGGTGCTATTACTTCTAGGTCTCTTGAGTGGATAGAGCTAGGAAACACACATACATCTTTGGTTCCTAACTCTTTTTGCTCTTTCCCAGGTTAGTTACTGAATTTACCTCTTCCTTTCCCTTCTGTGTGACCTCATCATAGTCCATGCCACCAACATTTTTTACACTTAACAGTTACTGCAAAAGATTTCTAGTTTCCCTCTTCCTTTGTCACTTAAGAGCTAGTCAAAATTAATCTTCCTAAACTGGGCATGGTGGCTCATGCCTATAATCTCAGCACTTTGGGAGACTGAGGTGAGAGGATTACCTGAGCCCAGGAGTTCGAGACCAGCCTGGGAAACTTGGTGAGACCTTGTCCCAACAATAAATTTTTTTAAATTGCTGTGTGTGGTGGTACGCACCTGTGGTTCCAGCTACTTGGAAAACTGAGGCCAAAGGATTGTCTGAACCCACGAGGTCGACTATAGTAGCTGTAAGCGTGTCACTGCACTCCAGCCTGGGCAACAGAGTGAGACTCTGACTCAAAAGAAAAAAAAATTCCTAAAACATTTTATTATGCTGTGCTCAATATTTTCTAGTAACTTCTCATTATTTTCTAATATTTGGGACCTTTCTAGAAACATGCTTCAACTTGTTTAACCTTTCCTCCTGCTTTGTCTTATATAAACTCTCCAAATTAGACTACTCTGTTTTGATTGTCCCCATAATTATTAAATACTACTACTAATAATAATTATGATTATTATTGAGTCTGAGTCTTAATCTGTTGCTCAGGCTGGCATGATCATGGCTACCACAGCCTTGACCTGCTGGGCCCAGGTGATCCTTCCACCTCAGTCTTCCAGGTAGTTGAGACTACCCAGGTGCATGCCACCATGCCCGGCCAGTTCTATTTTATTGTAGAGACAAGGTCTTGCCATGTTGCCCAGGCTGGTCTTGAATTCCTAGGCTCCGGCAGTTCTCTTGCCTCAGCCTCCCCAATGTTCTGGGATTACAGGCATGAGCCACCGTCCCAGGTGATTGTTCCCATAATTATTCAAATTACCTTGACTCTGTTCATTCCTTACTACCTACCTTTTTTATTAAGGCTTTCCTGATATTGTGCCCCATGATGCTCTTATCACTCACTGTTCGTGATCTGAATTATTACTCTTTAACTTAAAAAGGTAATTTTTTGTTGTCTCGGGTAAATAATTCTGCTTTGTGGTGATTTATACTCATTTGATTTTACTCTCTGTGATTTAACTATCTGCTATTACAGACATACTGATTTCCAGTGTGTTTTAAAATATGTTTAAATAATAAACCTTTAAGAACTCTACACATAGAATGTATCATCACTTAGTTTAAATGGTACACTTTTTAGACTTGGACAGGTTTTAAAACAAAGGATCTTTTTGTAGTCTGCCCATCAATACTATGAGAAGATTCCAAATGAAATCTCAGGCTTTTCTTTAAAATTAGTGAGTATGTTAAAATTCTTAAGTAAGAGAGCATCTAAATGATCCTTACATTCTTTTGATTGTGGTTTTTACCCATATGTAGGTGGGTTTTGTTCCAGAAACTACATTTGAGGTAGCAGTATACAGCCTGATACACTGAAAGAGGGAGTAGAGGTCCTTTTGCTATTGAGAATAACCTGCTTATGGGACTGTGTGTTCCTCTAGCTTGTCTCTTGTTTTCCTTTACCAGCTAAGCTAAGGGCATTGTGATCTGTTGAGATGTTATTACCGATAGGAAAACAATTTTCAAGGAGAAAGGGATACAGAATGAGATTTTAAAAAGCAATCAGACTGAAGTGGTTTGTGTGCGTCATCATGTTTCCTTAGGTGGACTGAAGGACATTTCAATGATTCTAAAGAGGTAGCTATATTTTGACAAAGATGAGCATATTTATGGTAGCAATTTTCTTTTTCTTTTTTTTTTGAGTAGGAATCTCACTCTGTTGCTAAGGCTGGAGTGTAGTGGCACGCTCACAGCCACCGCAGCCTCTACCTACTGGGTTCAAGCAGTCCTTCCACCTCAGCCTTACAAGTAGTTGGAGCCACAGGTGCGGACCAAACATGCCTGGCTATTTTTTTTTTTTTTTTTGAGTTGGAGTCTCACTCTGTCACCCAGACTGGAGTGCAGTGGCCACTCCCGGCCACCGCAGCCTCGACCTGCTGGGCTCCGGCGATCCTTCCGCCTCAGCCTTCCAAGTAGCTGGAATTACAGGCATGTGCTACCACGCCCAGCTGGTTTTTAAAAATTTATTGTAGAGATGAGGTTTCGCTGCCCAGGCGGGTCTCGAACCCGTGGGCTCAGGCAATCCACTCACCTCAGCCTCCCAAAGGCACGGGATTACAGGCTGAGCCACCGAGCCCGGCTTGGCTGATTTTTTTAATTTATTTTAGAGACAGGGTCTCGCCAAGTTGCCCAGGCTGGTCTTGAACCCCTGAGCTCAGGCAATCCGCTCACTTCTGCCTCCCAAAGTACTAGAATTATAGGCATGAGCCACCATACCTGGCAGGTAGCAACTTTGTATTTGGTTTTCCTGTTTTTTGTTTTTTGTTTTCTTTAATGGAGGAACAGCCTTTGGGAACAAATTTGGTTTTAGAAGATAGGCAAGTAAAATCAGATCTATCATATGACTGTGTGGTAATGATAATAAAATGGATATTAAATTCATGATTTCTTTTCTTTTTCAGTTTAATTGGTTGGGGCCAGATAAGAAGAGGAGTGACAATCAAGCCAACAGTAGATGATGACTGAAGAATTCCAGTTAAACAATACAATTGGATGGAGTCGGAATTTCTCTTAACCTAAGGGGTTTATTTTCAAAGCAATACTAGGGAGTTTATTTCACAGCTCATTAGTAGGCAGCTGTAAGGTTATTCTAATTTTTTTGGTTATGAAAATTTAACCTCTAGTACTAAATTAAGGTCTACAATTTAAAAATTGGCATAATGTTAGATTGAATATACATTTTAGCAGAAGTTAAACATTCCCAAATAATGTCTAATTTGTACGTCAGTGCAGGTTGAAATTAAACTGTTTGCTACAATCAGCCTTTGCCATAGCACACACGTACCACTGAATCTATTTGAACCTATTTGAAATAGTTTTTCTTTTTTCATGATTCATCTTTGAGTAGCTCCAGGCTGAGGGACTGTTGTATCATTAAAAACTTGAAGGCACGCGTTCTTGAAAACCAGCTCCCCTTCTTTGGCTCCATATTTTTTGTTGCTTTATTTTTAAAATTTTTAGTAAAGGAAATTAGTAGGTTCAAATGAAATTGTCCTTTTGGCCAGGCACATTGGCTCACACCTGTAATTCCCACATTTTGTGAAGCTGAAGCAGAAAGATTGCTTGAGGCCAGGAGTTCAAAACTATCCTGGACAACATAATGAGATGCTGGGTTTTTTGAGTCAGTATCTCACTCTGTTGGCCAGGCTGGAGTGCAGTGGCATGATCACAGTTCACCATAGCCTCAATTTTCTGGGACTATAGGCTCTTACCACCACACTTGGCTGATTTTTTGTAGAGGTGCGGTCTTGCTATGTTGCCCAGGCTGGAAGGATCCTATCTTTACCCCCAAAAAAGGAAAAAAAAAATTGTGCTTTAGAGCAAGTCTTGTTATCATGGACAAACTTTTCTCTCCCCTTTTTTTCCTGGACTGAAACATAGGAAACCAGAGCCAGAAATTCTCTCTATGATGCCTTAAGATTCTTTCTGCATTGGTTTATGCCTGAAACCCAACAGTCTTCTCCCATTGGAAAATACAGTTATACCAAATATTCTAGATGAGTAACAAAGATCTCTTCAGACTTTTATTTTGTGTTTTTTCTTAACTGTTAAATTGATGAAGTTATGACATAGATTCTAATATTCGTAATCTTTGGACCTTTCCAAAGGTCAAGAAGTAAAAAATGTTAGGAAACAGAGCGTGAGCCCTTTTGATTTTAACTTATTCTCCATGTCCCTGTGCTTTTTAAATTTTTGCTTCATACGAGATTTGTTGAGTAGTGATTCCCAACTCTGGCTGACATTAGAATTGTTAGGGAAGCTTGAAAAAAACAAAACAAGATGTCCCACAGAGATTCTGTTGTAATTAGCTTGAGGTGGAGCCCAGGTGTTGATATTTTTTAACACTCCCCAATATTGAGGAAAATAGTTTAGTGAGTTGAGAAGTAGGTGTATTAAATTATAGAATCTTAGTGAGTTTTGGTAGTCTGATAATACTCTTTACTGTTCTTAAACTTGTATTGAGATAGGATTTGAGGCCACAGTCATCATATTGTGCTCTTTTGGACATCAAAACTGTCTTGTAAAAGTTTAGAAGCTGTGGCTGTGAGTTGTTACCTAATTTGATACATTTTGAGGAAGCGTACTAATGTTATGTACTTGGTTGACTGAAAGGTTGTGTTGTGGCATGAGGAACACATTCAAATAAAGCAAAAATTTAAATCAAAATTCATTTTATATGTAACATATACCTATGTGTATAAGCACCTTCTACCAGAAATTCTGGAATAAGACCCAAAATATTGACTAATTCATTATAATTAGTCTCATGTCAGAACTGAGACTGGAAATCTGTTGTAATTAATTTTAAGCATTTGCATGGATTTGAACACATTTGTAAATTGCTGTGCTGAGCATAATGGGTATATACAGGTGGGTAGGCAGTGGACCTTATTTTCACAGAACTTGAAGCCAGCACAGCAACTCTCAGCAAAAGATGGACCTGGTTGAGAATCTGCCTGTAACACGATGTTTCTGATGAAAGTACATTGCATATGTAAATCCTCTTGGATCTACTGTCAAGATATTTTCAAAATCTGTCCAGTACTCATCACCTCCACTGCTGCCACCCTAGTCAAAGCCACCATTGACTCTCACTGGATTAGCCTTCTTAACTCCTCCCTGCTTCTATGCCTGCCCGGCTGCAGTCTGTTCTCATCATAGTAGCCAGAGTTAGTCTGTTAATAAGAGAAATGCTATGTACAACTCTGATAATAAGTTGTAAAGATAGTCTCATGGAAGTGAGGGGCATGAAGACAGTCTAGTGACACTACCCAAATGATTTCCAGGCTGGCCTAGAAAGCGCTCCATATTTTACTCCTTGTATGTAACATCCAAAGGAGTGTGTGTGCATGTGCTTGTTTTTGCAGAGGAAAAAACTGCAAATAACTGCACTCTTATAAAGCTGAAATCCTATTTCTAAAAAAATGTTGGTGCTTGCAGTGAAATCCATGAAACATTATTTGAAAATTACCAACACAATTCTCAATTTCAAGGAATAATTCATGTGTCATTTAAGCTTCCAGAATATAGGAAAAGGGGGGCAGGAAGCAGACATCCTAACTCTGTTCAAGATTATTCCTGCTACTCAAACCTGGAGAGAATACTGTGAAAAAACAAAACTAGAAACCATTCTCACATACATGGGTGGAACATACACATTAAAATTTAGCAGTTCCAGCAGTGTATTAAAAGAATAATGCATTCGTGTGTGTACACAGATGTTTTATAGTTTGAAGGAAAAGCACCTTGGGGATTTCTTGATACAACTTTGTTGTTGTTGTTTTAGGTTAGAAAATATAGTTTGTTTATAAGGTAAATTAGAGGAAGAGAGAGGAGATTCACCTCTCCAAGGTAGGAGAGGGGGCCAAAACTTAGGAAACTTGGTGGGGGTCATAGCTCAAAGAGCACAGCCACACCAGAGTTTAACAAAGCAATTGCCTTGATACAACTCAAAATAATTTTTAAAACCTAGGTCTGTCTCAGAAATTTGAGAACCATTAAAACAAAGTTTAATGAGAAAATAGGTAATGTAAAGAAAAAACTGAACTTGTAGTGTACAAAGCAAAAACTATCAGCATCACTGTTTTTAATGAAACATGGGAGCAGTCACACTCTGCTATAATGCCATCGGTGGGGGAAAATTTTGGACAAAATGGCATTATTGTGATCCTAAATTACTAAGATGAATTTCAGAGGGTGGGAAGCAGTCATCACTTGAATTTTATCAATTCATGCTACTTGGCTTCTACTTGGAAGGCTGAGGCAGAGGGATCACCTGAGCCCAGCGGTCGAGCCTGCAGTGACCATGAGTGTGCCACTGCACTCAAGCCTGGGTGACAGTGAGACTGACTCCAACTCGAAAAGAAACTACACCCCAGAAACTGCAAATTTTAAACTGCTTGAGGACAAAGCTCAAGATAAACATGCAAAATTATTAGTGTACTTATTCACACACACAAATAAAAATGCAATAGATGGTAAACTAGCTGGGTATACCTTTAACAATATGCAAGATATGTATGAATAAAACTGACATTTTGCTAAAGGATAGAAGAGATGTGAATAGTAAATTAGATAATATTCTTGGATGGCAACACTCAATATTGTGCAGATGACTGCTCATTTTTTCCTACAAATTAAATGCACTATCAATCAAAATTTCAGTGAGACTTTTTAAAGAATTGTCCAGCACATAATAAAGGTTTGGAAAAGTGGGCCAGGTGTGGTGGCTCATGCCTATAATTCCAGCACTTTGGGAGACCGAAACAGGAGAATCACCTGAGTCCAGTCGTTTGAGACAACTAGGCAATATAGTGAGACCCCCATCTCTACAAAATAATACCAAAAATGACCCAGGTGTGGTGGTACGTGCCTGTGGTCCCAGCTACTCAGGAAGCTAAGTTGGGGGCTGCAGCTGTGATGGTGCAGTGATTGTGTAACAGAGCAAGATCCTGTCTCAAAAAATAATATTTGGAAAAGTAAATTCACACGTACAGTAAATGAACTTTTGAAAAAGAATTGTGATTGGAGAATTGACATATCACATCTTGGAACATATAAAGCTACAATATTTATAAGATATTGATGCAGAAATAGATAAATCACTAGGACAAACATCACAACCAAATGTAAATTTTTTTTTTTAATCGGCGTCTCACTCTGTCACCCAAGCTGAAGTGCAGTGGCACACTCATGGCCACCACAGCCTCAACCTGCTGGGGCTCCAGCGATCCTTCTGCCTCAGCCTTCAAAGTAGGCAGAACTACAGGCGCGTGCTACCACGCCTAACTTTTTATTTATTGTAGAGACGAAGTCTCGCCAAGTTGCCCAGGCTGGTCTCGAGCCCGTGGGCTCAGACATTCCACTCGACTCGGCCTCCCAAAGTGCTGGGATTACAGGCTGAGCTACCGAGCCTGGCCCCAAATGTAAAATTTTAGTAATATATGCTATAGGTAGCATTTTATGTCTGTAAGGAAAAGATAGACTACTTTATAGTCACAACGGCCAGACAACTGGGAAGAAAAGGTATTTTATTAATTTTTATCTATCTATTTAGAATTGAATCTCACTGTCACCTAGGCTGGAGTGCAGTGGCATGATCACGGCTCACCACAGCTTTGACCTCCCAGACTCAGGCGATCCTTCCACCTCAACTTCCTGAGTACCTGGGACTACAGGCACACACCAACATGCCCGGCTCGTTTTTTAATTTTTTGTAGAGACGAGGTCTCACTATGTTGCCTAGGCTGGTCTCAAATTCCTGGGCTCAAGAAATCCTCTCTTGGTCCTCCAAAGTGCTAGGGATTATAGGCGTGAGCCAACGTGCCAGCCAAGATCTTTGATTAAAATTTTTATTTAAACCGGGCTCGGTGGCTCAGCCTGTAATCCCGCGCCTTTGGGAGGCTGAGGTGAGTGGATTGCCTGAGCCCGCGGGTTCGAGACCCGCCTGGGCAGCGAGACCTCATCTCTACAATAAATCAAAAAATCAGCCGGGCGTGGTAGCGCGCGCCTGTAATTCCGGCTACTTGGAAGGCTGAGGCGGAAGGATCGCCGGAGCCCAGCAGGTCGAGGCTGCGGTGGCCGGGAGCTGCACTCCAGTCTGGGCGACAGAGTGAGACTCCAACTCAAAAAAAATTTTTTTTAATTTAAGATTTAATTTTATTGAGAGAAAAGTATGAACAGAGAAAATACAGAAGATAATTTTAATAATTTGAGTAAAGAAGGCAAAATAA